CCATTTTCTTAATTGTTTTGGGTTTGTTTTTGTAGGTCCTTTTCTTCTCTTGTGTTTCCCACTTAGAGAAGTTCCTTTGGCATTTGTTGTAGAGCTGGTTTGGTGGTACTGAATTCTCTTAGCTTTTGCTTGTTTGTAAAGCTTTTGATTTCTCCATCGAATCTGAGTGAGATCCTTACCAGGTAGAGTAATCTTTGTTGTAGGTTCTTCCCTTTCATCACTTTAAGTATATCATGCCACTCCCTTCTGGCTTGTAGAGTTTCTGCTGAGAAATCAGCTGTTAACCTTATGGGAGTTTCTTTGTATGTTATTTGTCATTTTTCCCTTGCTGCTTTCAGTAATTTTTCTGTGTCTTTAATTTTTGCCAGTTTAATTACTGTGTGTCTCAGCGTGTTTCTCCTTGAGTTTATTCTGTATGGGACTTGCTGCGCTTCCTGGACTTGGGTGGCTATTTCCTTTCCCATGTTAGGGAAGTTTTCGACTGTAATCTCTTCACATATTTTCTCTGGTCCTTTCTCTCTCTCTTCTCCTTCTGGGACCCCTGTAATGTGAATGTTGGTGTGTTTAATGTTGTCCCAGAGGTCTCTTAGGCTGTCTTCTTTTCTTTTCATTCTTTTTTCTTTATTCTCTTCCGTGGTAGTGAATTCCATCATTGTGTCTTCTAGGTCACTTATCCATTCTTCTGCCTCAGTTATTCTGCTGTTGATTCCTTCTAGTGTAGTTTTCATTTCAGTTATTGTATTGTTCATCTCTGTTTGTTCTTTAATTCTTCTAGGTATTTGTTAAGCATTTCTTGCATCTTCTTGATCTTTGCCTCCATTCTTTTTCCAAGGTCCCAGATCATCTTCTCTATCATTATTCTGAATTCTTTTTCTGGAAGTTTACCTATCTCCATTTAGTTGTGATTTTTTGCAGTTTTATCTTGTTCCTTCATCTGGTACCTAGTCCTCTGCCTTTTCATTTTGTCTGTCTTTCTGTGAATGTGGTTTTCGTTCCACAGGCTGCTGGACTCTGTAGTTCTTCTTGCTTCTCGGGCTTGCCTTTTAACGAAACCAACTTCAGTGTATTTCTCAGGAAAGAATCACAATGCAAAATAAATATAAATTGGAGCTGGTGAATAAAGCTTTGTTAATCATGGGGAAGAGCATTACTGTGTTTTGTCAGGTAATTTTAACAGCTGTATTCCATGCTTATGTGGAATATTTTTATGTTGTCTCCATATTATATGGCCTCAGATATTTGTATTTAGAGTTACTCTTATGCATTATGAATTTATTTTCTTCCTTAGGTTTCTTTAAGTTTGATTCTCCCCCCCACCTCCAGTGCTCAGGTTTTTAGTGTATGCAAGTAGGTTTTTCAGTTTGCGTACCCATACTGCCTCACCATCAACAGTGGTTTTGGGATCAGATTAACAGTTGGACTCATGAGACAAGCTAGGCTTCACTCAGCACTAAGCTTATTTATCATTAAGAAAGGATATAGGACAGGAAACAGCACAGCTTGAACAGCAGCGTCATATTAGAGATGTCATGAGTTCTAGGCAGAGCTTGCATATATCCTAGGCATCTCAGCTTAATAGGTTCGTAGTCCTGAGGAGCATGACTGGGTGATGAAGACTACCTAATAAGTTCATTGAAGCTATTACCTCTTGAGTTCCTTCAGCTTTTATACCTTGTTCCCATTCTCCAGTGCAGCAGCTTCTCTTCGATATCAGAGTAATAATCTTAACAGTGAACCACAGACCCTTGGGCAAGTACACAGTAACTCCAGCCAGATTCTCATTTATCTCTGTAACTCAGTACACTCCTATAAATTCTGAGTTAAGAGTTTTAAGAGGGACTTCCCTGGTGGTGCAGTGGTTAGGAATCCTCCTGCCAATGCAGGGGAGGGACACTGGCTCAATCCCTGGTCTGGGAAGATCCCACACACCGTGGAGCTTAGAACTAAGCCCGTGCGCCACAACTACTGATCCCGTGTGCCACAGCTGCTGAAGCCTGCACGCCTAGAGCCTCTGCTCTGCAACAAGAGAAGCCACCACAATGAGAAGCCTGTGCATCACAATGAAGAGTTAGCCCCCACTCACCACAACTAGAGAAGGCCCCAGTGCAGTCATAAATAAGTAAATAAGTTTCAAGAATAATTTGGCCAAGTGCCAACCAAGTGCCAAATCCTCAGGTGTTCTGAAGCTAACAGAAAGGTTACAAACCAGCTGTTAACCCTTTCAATTAAGGTCTGTAAACAGACAGCCAACAGTCAGTCCAAAGATATTTTCTTTGTCCTCTTTGATTTTTTTTTAATTATGGAAAATACTAACATATACAAAAGTGATTGAAATTGTATAACAAATCACCCATGTTCATTACCCATCTTTGCCAATTAATTTATGGCTAATTTCATGTTACCTGTACTTGGACAGTTCTCCATTTCCTGTTTGAAGCAAATTCTAGGCATAACATTTTATTGATAAATATTTCACTATCTCTAAAAGGTGACTCTTCTGAAAAAAATAACCGTACCATAATCATATGCAGACATATATACACATATGTTCCTAAATGTCAGAAATCCTTACAGTGTTCAAATTTCTAATTGTTTAGTTAATGTTAATTTTTTGATGTTTGAATTTGAATCCAAATCAGGTTCAAACATTTGGGTTGGTGTTGTAAATTTTTTTTGTTTTTAATAGATTATCCCACCATTTCTTTTTATGTTTCTTGAGATTTATTTGTTGAACAAGCTAGGTCATTTGTCCTGTAGTGTTTCTTTCCCATTATTGCACACACTGAATTTTACAGATTGCATCCTTCTGTTATGTAATGTGTTCCTTCTGTGCTTCTATTTCATATAACTTTGTAGTTAGATCTAGAAAATTGATCAGATATAGTTTTGATTTTTTTAAATTCTATTTGATGGGAGCAAGAGTCACTTTGGACAGGTTGTCTCTGTGCTCTGCAGTGGCCATTGGTGGGCAGTGCCTCCTTAGGAGTTGTGAAATGGTGATATTCTAACTCTGTAATTCCTTATTCATTTATTCTTGGAGTACTTTTGATAAAGAGCATCTTCCCTTCATCTACTATTTGGTTAGCCAGTGGAACAGTTCATATATGATAAGAAGGATAAATGATTTATATTTTATTTACCTATATCATTATGAACTGATCATTCTAATGTATTTTCTGTTCCACTGTATTGTAGTTATCCATGTATCAATATTGTCCCAGCTTTAGCCTGAATTCACTTACTTCTTTTTTAATTAAGGCATAATGGACTTAAAATATCCTATTGATTTCAGGTATACAACAGTGATCTGATATTTTTATACATTACAAAATGATCACCATAATAAGTCTAGTTGCTCTCTGTCACCATACAGAGATATTACAATATTATTGACTATATTCCCTGTGCTCTACACTACATCCCCATGGCTTATTTTATAACTGGAAGTTTGTACCTCTTAATCCCATAAACCTATTTCCCCACCCCCTTAATCACCTTCTCCTCTGGCAACCACTAGTTTCTTCACTGTATCTATGAGTCTGTTTCTGTTTTGTTATGTTTGTTCATTTGTTTTGTTTTTTAGATTCCACATATAATTGAAATCACACAGTATTTGCCTTTTTCTGTCTGACTTATTTCACTTAGCATAATACCCTCTAGATCCATCCATGTTGTCACAAGGGGTAGGAGGTCCTTCCTTTTTTATGGCTAAGTAATAGTCCATTGCGCGTGTGTGTGAGCTACATCTTTATCCATTCACATATCGATGGACACTTAGGTTGCTTCCATATCTTGGCTATTGTAAATAATGCTGCAGTGAAGGTTGAGTTGCATATATCTTTCAGAATTAGTGTTTTAGTTTTTTTTGGATAAATACCCAGAAATAGAATTGCTGGGTCTTATGGCACTGCTATTTTAACCTCCTGAGGATCCTCCATGCTACTTCCCATACTGGCTATACCAATTTACATTCTCACAAACAGTGCACAAGGGGTCCCTTTTCTCCACATCCTCACCAATGCTTGTTATGTGTTGTCTTTTTGATAATACCCATTCTGACACATGTGAGGTGCTATCTCATTGTTTTGATTTGCATTTCTCTGATGATTAGTGATGTTGAGCATCTTTTCATGTGCCTGTTGGCATCTGGATGTCTCCTTTGGGAAAATGTCTATTCAGGTCCTCTGCCCATTTTTTAATCAGATTGTTGAATTCACTTCTTTAAGTCCACCATGGTTGGAATTAGAATACTGTTAGGTGGGCGAAGCTCTGTCCAGTCTGTCATATCTTTCTCCATTTCCTGGTTAACCTCACTTACTTGTGTTAGTTTCCTCATTCTTAAAGCATTTGAGTTTTGGGACCCCTTTTAAAATTAAACTTCCTTAACCCAAAATAAAATTTAAATTTGAAATTACTTTTTGTAGAGACCCCAAAACATATTTATTAATCATTGGCAAATGACTACCACTACCCCCTGTTGTAAGTCTGCTGTTCAACCAAAGCTAAATTTCTTAATCATTAGAGGAATACTCAGGCATTGAATAAGCCCATGCCAGTGGAATCGTTTTTCTTATCTTTCCACATTCATGCATAGTATTTTTTCTATTACTTCTCTCCTACAGTTGTACTTCCAATATTGATAGTAAGAGAAAAGTTGAAAACTACAAAAAGATTAGAATCTGGGATTCTTGAATGTTATTTCTGTGCCTTTAAAAAAGTATGTTATTCATATGATTCCTAAAATTAACTTAGTTTAATGTTTTAGATTTACCTATTACTTTTCCAGAATTCTTTAGATATAAATATAACTCTGACCCATGAATCTGGAGATCTGGATTCTAATCTTGAGTCTTAACTCCTTTCCTGTACCCCTCAGGTCAAATAGCTGGATGAGCTAAGTGTTGAATACTGGACTTTGAGAATCTGCAAAAAACCCTAAACTTCCACTTACAAAGTTTGTCTAAAAAGTGTTCACCAAACCGTTTTGCTTTTTATTAAAGCTAGGAAAGAAGAAAAGAAAAGGCATAAATCCTCCTCCTCCTCCTCATCGTCATCCAGTGACTCAGATAGTTCAAGCGATTCTCAGTCTTCTTCTGATTCTTCTGATTCTGAAAGTGCTTCTGAAGAGAAATCAAAAAAAAGAAAGAAGAAACATAGGAAAAATTCTCGTAAACACAAGAAAGAAAAGAAGAAGCGAAAGAAAAGCAAGAAAAGGTCTTAATTTACTTTTACAGTACTGACTTTCTATTCTAATTCCCTTCTGTTTATATATAAATCTATTGGGATTTTGGATCAATTATATGGAACATGAAAATAGTGAGAAATGTTTCATAGTATGAAGTATAAGACCATTTTGATATTCTACAGTCTATAGATTAAATTTGGGAACATTCATTTTAATTTTCAACAAAACCATTCAGTTCATTTTGTCTGAATTCAATGACCTTTTGGTTATATAGGTTTATATTTTATGGGAGGAATATACGATTAGTGAGAATTATAGGAAACCAATGACTTTTCTTATTTTCTGTAGCAGTCTCGCTTTTTTGTTCTTTATTTTTTTCCTCCTATGATAGCATAAGGTAGAAAGCAGATAATGTCAGCATATTTCTTTTCTTTCCTGTTTTGTCTGAAATAATCTATGGTTGTACTAAAACTCATCTTTATAAACCTGTTGCCTCTAAAGCAGTTGCTTTACCTATATTTTCAAGTATTTTAAATTTATCAGAGGGCATTGCACATGAAGTATCATATTTTGGTTCCATTTTATTGGAAAATATTTTTTGAGAATGTGATAACAGAAACATTTGGTTTTGGTTTTTGGTTGGTTTGTCAGAGGAATGAGTATTTTCCCCATGTAATTGCATTTTTGGTCAGAAATGGGGGACAGAATGATGTATATATTGTACATATTACAAAGGAAAGAAATACCAACAATTGGAAAATCGGGGTAGGTACATAATAACTAAGTGGAATTTGTTGTGTGTGTTTCTTTTAAAGCGCATCTAGTGAAAGTGAGGCTGAAAATCTTGAAGCACAACCCCAGTCTACTGTTCGTCCAGAAGAAATCCCTCCAATACCTGAAAATAGATTCCTAATGAGAAAAAGTCCTCCTAAAGCTGATGAAAAAGAAAGGAAGAACAGGGAGAGAGAGAGAGAGTGGTATGTGAATATGTTTATTTTATAAACTCCCCTACATTCTCTACTACAGAACTTTTCTTTTTTAAAAAACCATTTTTGCTTATTTTAGTTAAGATTTAATTGGTGACCTTGTCCCAAGATTGAAATTTCTTAATACGATAATGTTAGCAAGGCTCCTTTTTGCTAACCACATAGCTGAAAAGATAAATTGACTTAATTCAGACAGATTTTTGAATAAAAGTTACATTAATTAAAAAAAAAAAAACAAGCATTGCAAATGGCAAAAAGATATGTTAAGTGGCATTCCAAACAAATTCTATTTAAAACAAGTGTTTTACTCTGTTATTTGTATACATTAAACTTTTAAGCAAGTAAGAACCTTTATTTTTCAGTTTGTCTGATGGGGGAAAATGCTGTTTTCCTTGCCTGGTTTACAATATTGTGGTATTGAAAATTGACAGCATATTCAAGTACTTTGAAAGTTTTTCTACATAAGTTCACATTATTAGTATTAGAAATTGTTGGTTCTTTATGAATCATTTTAATAATTATGTCCAAAGATAGGAAAAAAGATGGGTATCTTTCTCTTATTTATAATTGGAAATAATGTATTTAAAAGTGATAAAATTCTGAACATTCCCCCTATACTTTCACAATACAGTAAAAATATAAAAGTAAGTCTTGGTTACTTGAATTGGGATAATTTTGATGGATTGGATTGAGTTTACTCAGTTAATAGGAAATTGTGTTTCTAAGGAAGTAAACATTAAGGAGAAGATATTTGAACTACTTTAGAATGCATTTTTCAAACATACACAGATATTGTTAGTGCTAATTAAATATTAACTCATTATTATTTGAAAATAAATAGTTTCCCTTTCTGGTATAAAGCATGATATTAAACATTTTGCTAATTCAGACCATCTTGTCTCTGTTTAATTCACATTAATTACATTTCTCTATAGTTTTATTACCAGTGAACAACTGCTTATAGGATAGTAAGATACTTTAGAATCAGATAGCTTTAAAATGGTTCTCTCAACAGCATGTAGCCTACTATGAGTTCCTTAGCACTATCAAGTTGACTTCATCTTAGTGATGATTATATAACAGTGTTTCTCAACAGGACACAGTTGGCATTTGGGAACAGGATAGTTCTTCATCTACACACATTACAAGATTTTAGCATTCCTGACTTGTCACTCGGTACCAATAGCACCCTCTAGTCATTGACAGTTGTAAAAATGCTCCCATACTTTCCCAGATAACTACTAGGATTGATAACATTCCTGGTTGAGAACCACTGATTATATATGTAAGACTTTAAATTTATTAGTTTAGATCAGTAAAGCTATGTTCTCCAGATTTATTTTTATAAAATAATGTTTTTTAATTTTCCCTCTGCTTCCTTCTAGTAATCTACTTAACTCCCAGCCTGCTTCATACCAGAGGCGACTTTTAGTTACTAGGTCTGGCAGGAAAATTAAAGGAAGAGGACCAAGGGTAGGTGATTCTTTTCCCAGAAGTCCTAATAGTATTGCATTTATCTTAAATAATCCTAGAGTGTTTCTTAAGTATTGTTTTATACATAAGTAGTTAAAATTTAGAGTAGATACAGATGTTGAATTATATGTTCTCTTTTTATAGTAACTTCTTTGTGTTGGTTCTTCCACTTTGAAAATCCATGGGATGTTAATGGATTTTACATGTACATGGTATAAAATGAGATTGAGGTCTTTCTTGTACCCCTTTGTTACTTCCTGACCACTGTGTCCCTATGCTTGTTAAAAATTAACCCTATTCTTATATTTCATACTCTTTCTCTTCACTGGATTCTCCTCATCAGAATTTAAATATCTTCTTGTTTTTTCAAAACTTTTAACCAACGTGGCTATACTTAGTATATTATTTCTTCACTTCCTACTCGTTCCTCAGCCATTTCAGTTTGTCTTCTGCCATTCTGCTGAAAACAGCACTTGCTTTATGGTCAGTTCCAAGTCACAGAATCCATTGGATCCTTTCAGTCTTTGTCTTATTTAATCTCCCTCCTTGTAATACTCTTTTCCCTTTGCTTCCATCATCTTTTCTTCCTGTCTCTGGCCAGTCTATCTTAAATTTCCAATGCTAGTTCATGCTCTTCTACCTGATCTTTAAATATTGTAGTACCCCAGGGTTCTAACTCTTCTCACTCTGCATATGCTTCTTGGGCAATATAATCACTCTTGTAACTTCACTGGGTACCTGTATGCTGATAACTGTCGGTTTTTCATCTGCCTTTCTGGCACCAAAGGTTTATTTGATGACCATTTAGGTGCCTAATGGGCACTTTAAACTCATCATATACAATGGTAAGCATAAACACTTCTTCAGGCCTGACCCTCCTTTAGATTTCTGGTCTCAGTGACAGACACTGCCACCTGTGCAAGCACTTAAACCTGAAGCCCAAGAATCATTTTGTTTCTCCCCTTTCTTTCCTACCTTATATAACTTATCCATCACCAGATCCTGTCTATTCAACCTCAACCTCCTAAATACTCTGAAATCTATCTGCTTCTCTCAAGCTCCACTCCTACCATCTTAGTTCAGTTCACCATTGTATATTCTCTGAACTATAAATGGCTTCCTAACTATTCTTATGGCAGTTCTCAAACTTTTTTGTCTTCGGACCTCTTTACACTCTTAAAAATGATTGAGGATTCAAGAGAGCTTTTGTTGATGTGGGATATAGCTATCGATATTTACTGTTTTAGAACTTAAACCCAAGAAATATTTAAAACAAGAACATATAAACACACATTTCATTAGCAATGAAAGCAAAGATATCAAACCACATTATGCTTCATTGATTTCCTACCTGAAAATTGGGAAATTTAGTTATTTTAGAAGGCATGGAAATATCAGACATTTTTTTGAACCTAGAAATATGTACACTTTAGCAATTGTTACAATGCTTTCATATTTTTATATATTAATTTTTCCCCTCTTTTTTTAAAGCGTTATCGAACTCCTTCTAGATCCAGATCAAGGGATCGTTTCAGACGTAGTGAGACTCCTCCACATTGGAGGCAGGAGATGCAGAGAGCTCAAAGAATGAGGGTATCAAGTGGTGAAAGATGGATCAAAGGGGATAAGTAAGATTTAACTCTTATTTCAAATGTAGTAACAAGTATTTTTTTAACTATTTAAAATTATTTCATTTAAAGCCATTTCAATTGTTTCTGAATGTCTTAAGGAAAATAGAATATCATTTCAGCAATAATGGACACCATTGTTTTCCTAATAAAGTTTCCCCAAAACTTTTTTTCTTCATTTTTTAGGAGTGAGTTAAATGAAATAAAAGAAAATCAAAGAAGCCCAGTTAGAGTAAAAGAGAAAAAAATAACTGATCATAGGCATGTTTCTGAGAGTCCAAACAGAAAAAGTGAAAAGGAAAAGAAAGTTAAAGATCATAAATCTAACAGCAAAGAGAGAGACATCAGAAGAAATTCAGAAAAAGATGATAAATATAAAAACAAGGTAAAGAAAAGGGCCAAATCGAAAAGTAGGAGTAAGAGCAAAGAGAAATCCAAGAGTAAGGAAAGAGATACAAAGCATAATAGACATGAAGAAAAGAGGATGAGGTCAAGGAGTAAAGAAAGGGATCATGAGAATGTTAAAGAAAAAGAAAAGTCTGATTCTAAAGGAAAAGATCAGGAAAGGAGTAGAAGTAAAGAGAAGTCTAAACAGTTAGAATCCAAAAGCAATGAGCATGATCATAATAAAAGTAAGGACAAGGACAGACGTGCACAGTCTAGGAGTAGAGAACGCGATGTAACTAAAGGCAAACACAGTTACAATAGTAGAACAAGGGAACGAAGCAGAAGTAGGGACAGGAGCAGAAGAGTGCGGTCTAGAAGCCATGACCGAGATCGCAGCAGAAGCAAGGAGTATCACAGATACAGAGAACAGGAGTACAGGAGAAGAGGAAGATCACGGAGCCGAGAGAGAAGAGCAACGCCAGGAAGATCAAGAAGTAAAGACAGGAGGAGAAGGAGGAGAGATTCACGGAGCTCAGAGAGAGAAGAAAGTCAAAGCAGAAACAAAGAAAAATACAGAAACCAAGAAAGTAAAAGTTCACACAGAAAAGAGAATTCTGAGGGTGAGAAGAGAATGTACTCTAAAAATCGTGATCATAGTAGCTCGAATAGTAACAGGGAAAAAAAGGCTGATAGAGATCAAAGTCCATTCTCAAAAATGAAACCAAGTAGTCAGGACAATGAATTAAAGTTCTCAACTTTGAAAAATAAGGAGGATGAGAAGACCAGATCCTCAGTGGAAAAAGAAAACCAAAAATCAAAGGGTCAAGAAAATGACCACACACTTGATAAAAATAAAAAATTTGATCATGAATCAAGCCCTGGAACAGATGAAGACAAAAGTGGATGAGTGAGGTATATAAACTTATTTCCATTCTGTCTCAAATTTTAAGTTTTAGAGACTTGCTGATGAATCCCCTTTATGTTGTTTTCTTTTCATTGTTTTGGGTTTATGTTTGTCCTTTTTTTTTTTTTTTTTTTTTTTTTTCTTTCCCAATGCGGACTTTATTGAGTCAATCTTTTGATAATCTGCAACCTGGATAATTTGTACTGCAAAAGTTTTAATAAACTTGAAATGAGAAAAACACTTTGGTGTAATACTGTGTGCTGTGTTTAACTATTTCATGTATGCATTTTTGTGTTGCAACAATCAGCCAGTAGCAAACATGCTATTCTACACCTTGATTTGTGTGATCCGCCAGTTGGAAACAAACAACTGATTGTTGGAATACATTGTTACAAAAGCTTGTGTTTCTCATGATTAAAGTAACCTTAGAAGCCACTAGGTAGAAGAAATCTTGTGTAGATTTTTCTATTGCATTTATAACAGAGGCTTGCAGCAGCAGCTTTTAATTACACAGAAGTGGGACCCTAATAACTTGAGATATTAAGTCATTACTTTTGATTTTATAGTAATTTGTGCTTTAAAATAGATAGCTATTTATATTGCACTTCATGTTACTCTGTAGTTCTACCAGTAGCTTGTTTCATATTAATATTTTTCCTCTTTAGTTTTGTTTTACTTCACTGTCTATAAATATAGTTGAGTATTTTTTTTTCAGTTGATATACTGATTGGGCTTGGCTTGCTGTTACACAGCATCTGACAAGAACTGTACCTTGAAGATCAGGTTGTAATTCTCAATTCTGTGTTGCTGTTGGTCTGAAGAGATGAAACTTGCTTTGGGGGAATGTTTTATTATTATTATTATTATTACCATTACCCTTCTCTAAAATGAAAAAAATAGTTTTCTCACTAAAACATACCACTTGTGCTGGTCTTTATGTTAGACAGATTCTAAAAATTGTTAATATTGACACATTAACTTAGATTTCTCTTTTTGGCCACTGACCTATATAGAGTTGAGTATTAATGTTGCATGTTTTTTTGTTTTTTTTTTTTAACTTGAACTGACTTCTCTAACTCTCATAACTGTGAGTTTCAACTGGCAAGAAAATGCATCTTTTTTATCTATGTATCACAGTAGGCTGTAGCATGTTTATGACTCTGGTTTCTTCTATTCAGGAGGCTTTATACCATAACTGTTAATCATTATTTTAACTTGGCATGTATAACATTGCCACATAGAGTAGAAAGTTGCAAAATTTGATAGCTTATAGTGTGAAACACTAAAGATACCCAAAGTCCGTTTAGAATTTTGTGTGTGGTATATCGCTATTTTAGTGATGTGTGGCCTTTTATTCTGTAATTTCTCTTCTAAATAAAATGTTGAACATCCAGTAAACACAAAACCTGCCTCATTTGAAAAGAAATTTCAGAATTCCAATTAGTAGTTGCCTCTAGAGTGCTTTTGTACTTTAATATTTGTCAGTAGTGTCAAATAGCTACTCTGTTACCAAGGTAGCTCCTTCGTAAACCCAGTAGCTACTCAATGTTATTTGTACTGAGCAAAGCAATGCTTATTAGCATAATACTTCCCGTTATTGATTAATACAGTAATGATACATTTGGCATTGTGGTATCCATTTATATAACAAATAGGGTAATGATTGATTGTAATATCTTGAAACAAATATCCATAGCAGAGTCTTACCAAATTTTGTTCCTGATGGTAAAAATAATAGATGTTTATGATAATCCAGGGTGGTTGATTCCTTAGAGACTTTGACCACAAACCTTAGAGATAATTGAGTCTTGAGTCCCCAAGCTGTATAATGTTATATATTTTAAATTAGTTATTGTTTGTCTTAAATTCAGTAAACTGCATTTAAAAAGTCTTTGTTAAACTATTTGAGCTTCAAGAAAGGTGCTGTTTAAGAAAGGATTTCTAATAATTATATTTAAAAAAAAAAACCATGCTAAGTAAAAATACTTCTATGTTGTCTGATCCCGGAGCTTTATCCACTAAGAATTATAGACAAGTAACCATAGGGGGAAAAAAATAGTAATTTCTTTAAGTAGTATTCTGTTTTGGTCATCAAAGAAGCAATTCCATGCTAAACATTATTTATAAGCCTTTAAAAAAAAACTTTGTTAGCTGTTTTTACAATAGAACAGATATGTGAAGGAGTTGAAGTGAGAGATGACAATCAGCTAGATTTTATTTTCAGAATATAAATAACATTTAGAAAATGATCAAACAGCATTAATTGTACCTCATCTGCCTTTGCATCTGAATAGTACACCAATCAAATGATCCTTTCATTACATTTTTAATAGTTGTGCAACCTTTAGTTTTTACTTTGAACAACTGTTTTCCTAAAAGTCAACTATTTAATTCTTTACTGCCAAATTGATAATAGTTACGTTTGAGTTTACAGTTTACCTCAAAGTATGTTTGATTTAATATCCTCTTAAAGATATTTAAATTAGTTTTTATTAAATTAGTTTTTATTGCTTGATTGGCAATATATGAGAAATTTTTCATGATTATTTCATGTGAATTCTTTTTCTGGGTAAACCATCTGCCACAGAAATTGACACTGCAGAGCGATTAATGTTAAAGAGCTTGTAGAGAAGCTACTAGGTTGCTTTAAAACATTTTAAAATTACTCTATAGGTAGTGAGTTCATAGAGCATTGTAGTTTCTAAGTTCAGATCCCTCACAGAAGTTTCAAAGAATTTGTCTTATAAATCCATCTTTGCACAAGTGTAATATTGATTCATATTGGCTTTGCCTAATGGCCTTTGATTCTGTACTCGGTGGAAGATATGAAACTGAAAAGTAAAAATTTCTTAATATTGGGGACCGGAACACACTGGGCTTCTCATGTTTTCAGTAGTAGTAATTACTGACAGTTCTAATTTGTTTTCAGGTTAGTGTGTGGAACAAATTAGTATGGTTTTAGTAGTTGATTTTGCTTTACTCTGGGTGGCAGTATTTTTCATCACACTTTGAACCTTTATGGAATTTGAAAAATTCCATCAGCAAGGTTGGAGAAGGGAGTTGTTGAGGGGTTTTGTTTGTTTTTATGTACTAGGGGGAGTGGTGGGATTGATTTGTGTGTCTGCCCCGCCTCCCTTCTTCAAGCAAATTCCTATGTTTACCAAAAGCACATGCTGTATATTTTGTTCCCCCTTTGTGTGTTTATAGTATTTTGAAGGATAAATGAATTGGGTATTTGTATGTGGGGATATTAAAAGTTATGGCTGCTCTCTTTACAGAAGGGAAAAACAAATGAAGTTAATGCACTTCTTTTCCTAGCTCAGAAGTCACTGTGATGTATATTTTTTTAATGAAATTTAGGAATAAAGCTGTTGTTGCAATTGTATAATTAGTTTCAAAATGCTGCTTCTCATTAGTCTAGTAACTGTTAAACTGTTTTCTGCAAACTGCATTTTACAGAATTTAAACTCTGAAACTATCAACTTTTATAGTTAAACATTGTATAAAATAAACTATACTATCATAAACAGTTTGTTTTTGTATTTTTTAAATCATTGTATTAGCTTATTCGGCCTTTATTTTTATTAAAAGCTAAATAATAAAGATAAATCAATTAAAATAATACTTTTATTTTACCCACAGAAATTGTATTAGGAAAAAACTGAGCAAAGAGTTTAACAATGTTGAACTTCAAGAATTTAGCCAGCAGTGACAATTTCCAGGTTTAGGAATAAGTTCTAGTGTAATTGTTTAATCATAGTGCTTCAAATTGCAAGGTGTCTTTTGCCTCAGCAGACTTTTAAGGTTATACATGGAATTTGCATTTCTGTCAACTGGAATGCTACTATTTGCTTTTTAATTCCTCCAGATTTCTCAGCAGCAGGAACACTGTGCCTGCCAGCTTTAATATAACACTTACCATTGTAAAGCCATATAAATGTTAATTGAGTTTGTAAAACAGATCGTCTAGTTTTTGGTTTCTTGTTTATTTTTGGTTTTATTTAAATTAGACATATTTAGGGAAAATTAACCTAGTTAACTTGAGAGTTAGTCACTGAAAATATATATGCTTAAGTAAAAACGTTCTGACCATTCAGTTGTTTATATGTGTTAGCAGGTGAATATTATTAAACTCAAATTCTGGAGTGTTTTTAAATGTTTTATTAAGCCAGGAGAATATGTAAAATGTGAGTGCTTCATATGGACTGTGCAAATTTGTTATTAAAATACTTTTAGTTTCAATGTGCTTTTTCTATTTTCATTGCTTTCTAGGTTTCTTTCCTAAACATACTTCCTAACCTAGTACGGTTTCTTTTTTAAGTGTAGATTCATAATTTTTACACCTCCCCCACCCCACCAAGTCCTCTCAATACCCAAAATGTCCTAGTTCCAATTTACATCTTTGCCACAAATTTTAGCTGTGGTTTCTTTTATCAGATTAGCAGATCAGAGCAGTTGTGTACTAATAGGTGCAGGTTGTACAATATTATGAATATACTTAATGCGACTGAATATTCTTAAATGGCTAAAATTATACATTTGGTTGTGTATGTGTTTTATCAAAATAAAAAATGGAATCTGGGGCTTCCCTGGTGGCGCAGTGGTTGAGAGTCCGCCTGCCGATGCAGGGGACACAGGTTCGTGCCCCGGTCTGGGAAGATCCCACATGTCGTGGAGCGGCTGGGTCCGTGAGCCATGGCCGCTGAGCCTGCGCCTCCGGAGCCTGTGCTCTGCAACGGGAGAGGCCACAACAGTGAGAGGCCCGCATAGCGCAAAAAAAAAAAAAAAAAATGGAATCTGACTTAATCTTGAATGGGGAAGAATCAGATCAGACATAATTGTACTTAGATGAAAAGCAGCTTTATTAACAAATTATAAGCATATAATTCACTTGAATTTGTAGCTCATAATATTAGCTATGACTTAGTCTTCTTAAAAATAAACTTTTTTCTACCATGTAAAACCTAGCCTTCCCTTAGACTTTTGAAAATTATATTTTGATC